TGACTGCTTTCCTAGGCCACAAGCAGGGAGCTGGATGGGAAGTGGAGCTGCTGGGATTAGAACCAGTGCTCATATGGGATCCTGGCACATTCAATGTGAGGACTTTAGCTGTTAGGCCACTGCACTGAGCCCATTTGATGTTTAAAAATAGGATTTTGGTGAGGCCAGTGCCCTGACTCAACAGGTCAATTCTCTGCCTGTGGTCCTGGCATCCATTTGGGTGCTAGTTTGAGTCCTGGCTGCTCCTCTTCTGCTACAGCTCCCTGCTTATAGCCTGGGAGAGCTTGGAGGTTGACCCAAGACCTTGGGTCCCTGCCGCCATGTGGGAGACCTGGAGCAAGCTCTTGGCTTCTGGCTTTGAACCAGCTCAGCTCTGGCCATTGTGGCTGTTTGGGGAGTGAACCAGTGGATGGAAGCTATCTCTCTGTAACTCTGATTTTCAAGTAATACAAATCTTAAAAAAAAAAAAAAAAAGCGGGATTTCCTAAAGTGTCAGAAGAAAGCATCCCTCACCCCCTTTCTGGCTAAGTTCTAAAAGGCACAGCAGGAAACAGTTTCCTGTGCCTTGGATTCACAGGTAAAGCCACCACCGTGATGTGGCCATACATAACATTGGTGCCAGCTTGTGCCTGGATTCTGCACTTCCCATCCAGCTCCCTGCTGATGGGCTGGAAAAAGCAGCAGAGGATGGACAAGTACTTGGAACCTTGCCACCCACAATGGGGGACCTGAAGGAAACCATTGGCTTCAACCTGGCCCAGCCCCTAATGCTTGCTTGTGGCCACCTGGTCAGTAAACCAGCAGATGGAAGCTCTCTGTCTCTGTAACTCTGCTGTTTAAATCAATCGGTAAACCTTTTAAAATAGAAGTTCAGCAGCAAATAGTGATGAAGCAAAGCCCAGAGAGGCTGGTCCTGATCTCTTCCCCGGGGCTGGCTGGGCCCAGCTTGGCAGCTCAGTTATCCTTGAACTAAGCTTGTGGTAGGAACCTCCAGACCAGGACATGGGTTAGTCTGAGATTGTTCAGAAACCCCAGCAGAAGGAACATCTGTGGCAGAAGGGAGACAATTGCAAAGCCCCAGTTCACGGTCTCTGTCCACATCTTCATCCTAGCACCCCAGGGTTACCGAGGCCCAGAAGGTGATGTTGGTGTTTTTCTCCCTTTGTCTGATCCTTGGTTTTCTGCCTTCTCCCCTGGTTCTGCTGATTAGGCTCCTGGCTGTTCTGGCTGTAGTTTGGAGGCTCCTGGGTGGGTCAGCAGGAGTGTTCCGGGCAGTGTGTTCTGGGCCTGCTCTGCTAAGCTGGCCTGCCCCGCTATGGCATTTGTTGTGCAGCACCATTTGCCTCTAACACCTTAGTGAGACTTCCGTCCTTCCCTGGCTAAGAGGCTCCGTGTTGCTTGAAACAGACTGTGTGCTGCCCACTTTTTCAACACCTTCCCGTTTGGGCCCTGGCTAGCTTGGGTTGTGTGTGCCCTGTTGTTTTGGAGTTACCATATGCTTGAGTAGAAATTGGGGTTTTGCGTCTTCGAGGAGGGGGAATGCCTTACTGAGTCCTTATTCCAGGCAGTTTTGATGATTCTGTCTTCACCCACAAAGTCTTCATTGGAGAAGAGACATTCACCTGGAATTAACCTACAGGTGTCTCTGAATGTCCTGTTGGTCACCTGGGAAGGGGATAAAGATCTTTTATGGGATATCTGCTGCATGTCACGGTTGAGACCCCCTTCTGAAAACAGTTGGCTAAGTGGTTAATTCATGGAGATTTCCAGGGTGGGGAATATGGTTCAGAAGATTTCCAGCAGGTGCATCACACAGGTGGTTCAGAAAGGGCTGTGTCTGTAGCACCCAGTGGCTCCACTTTCGCCTGGACAAGTTTGAAGGAAGTTGTTATAGTGAAGTGTGAGGGTGTGCAGCAGTATACATACAATAGGCATGCCATTGTATGTGGCATTTTGCTGCATGGTCTCTATGCAATGTGGGCTTAAATATGCATCTTCATGAATAGCCTCAAGTAGCACTGGATAATTCCGTTGTGTTCCTAAGGTGTTTTCTCAAAACTGTTTTTCTGAGGGGCAAGGTCTTGCTAGTGGAAAAACAGATGAACGCTTGACGTTTGGGGCCATCCTGTATTTGGAACTGTGAGGGGTCTTCAAAGAGTTTGAAGAGGTTCTGCTGTTGTGGCATAGTGGGTTAAGCTATCGTCTTTGAGATCAACATCACACAGGAACCATGCTGCTCCACTTCCCATTCAGCTCCCTGTTAATGCCCTGGGAGAGCAGCGGAAGATGGTCCAAGTACACGGGCCTCTGTCAACCACTTGGAGACCCACATGCAATTCCTGGCTCCTGGCTTCATCCTGGTCCAGCCTCGGGAATGAATCAATGAATGGAAGATCTCTTGTTCTCTCCTTCTGTCCATATCCCTGCCTAATAAATAAATCTTTTTTTAAAAAGCTATAGTCTTTAAAAATATTGCACAGAAAACACATATCATGAAAAAGGCTATGCCTGGATCTCAATGATTACTACACCAAAAGACATTCCTTTTTGCCATCGACTTTCTTTTTTTAAGATTTATTCTATTTTTATTGGAAAGGTGGATATACCGAGAGGAGAGTCAGAGAGGAAGATCTTCCATCCGATGATTCACTCCCCATGCGGCTGCAAAGCCTGGAGTTGAGCCAATCCGAAGCCAGGAGCCTCTTCCGGGCCTCCCACACAGGTGCAGGGTCCCAAAGCTTTGGGCTGTCCTCGGCTGCTTTTCCAGGCCACAGGCAGGGAGCTGGATGGGAAGTGGAGCCGCCGGGATTAGAACCGGTGCCCATATGGGATCCCAGGTGTGCAAGGTGAGGACCTTAAGCACTGCAGCATCGCTCGGGCGCACCATCGACTTTCAAAGGCAGGTGCAGGAGTGAAGCATTCTACCACTGTAAATTGTGCAGTTCTCCCTGTTTGTAGCTGTTTTTGGATTGGGGGACTATCCGTTTACAAGCTCCGGGTTTTAACACAGTCCAGGTGTCCAGCCTGGAGGCCCCCGTCAGCTGGCTTGGGCATTTTAGCAATCTCACTTTTTTTTTAGCCAGTTCCTTAGTTGTTTTCATTATGAACTCTCACTTTTTGTGCTTTGTGTGTTGGCAGCCTGCCTGCCTTCTCTCCTGTCTGCTGGCAGTTGCTTCCCAAGCCTCTGGGTGGGTCGGTGATCCCTCCATCCTGGTGTCCTCTGTCCCTGCCTCCCACCCCACACTGTGATTTCTCCTTGGGAAGTCTCAATTCCTCTCAAGGTTTCCACTTCTGCTGCCTGTGGTGAGGTTGTATGGTATCTTGCCCCAAGAAGCAATTCTTCGTGTTTACCCACAGGGCAATGGTATTTAAGCACTGAGGCCAGACCCCGGTTTCTGATTCTGAGATGGCTTTAGCTGGCAGGGTTGGGACTGGACTTCTGATTCTAAGATGGTATGAGCTGGCAGTTTGGGGACCGAGCTGGGAGCAGGTGTTCCTGTTAAGTGGGGCACTGCTGTCTTCTTGGCCACAGACAGCCCTAGCTCCTTGTTCCCTTTTGTTTCTGGATGTGAATGAAGTGTGCCTGTTGCCATCTTCATTTTTCTCATGATTACACTATTGAGTTGTTTACAGTGGAGACAAGAAGAGCAAGCAATTGCCTTTGCTCAACCCTCTATTCATAAGCAGACCAAGAATGTTATGTTTCCAAACAATAAGAGAGAATGTGTTTGTGTGTGTAGAAGGTTTTTTTTTTTTCTAAAAATATAATTGTATTTATTTAAAAGTAGGTTAGAGAGAGAGAGATGTGGCAGGGCGGGGTGTGGGGAGAGCATACATCTGAGGAGTGAGACCCCGCAGATGGCTACAAGATCAGAGGCTGGGCCATCCAAAGCCAGGAGCTTCAGCCAGGTCCCCCATGTGATGGCAGGGGTCCAAGCACTTGGGCCATCTGCTGCTGCTTTCCCAGGTTCATTAGCAGGGAGCTGGATCGAAGCAGAGCAGCAGAATTCAGACTGATGCCCATAGAGGGTGTCATTGTCGCTGGTGGTGACTTGGCCACTGTGCCACCATGCCGGCTCCAAGGAAGAAGGCCCTTTCATAGTAGATAGTCAAGATGTGGCTGAGGTGACAACCTGCCCGTAAACTGCCAGAACCTCTTGGCATCATTGGGCCGGGTGGTTTTGATGATCTGCTTTGATTCGCTCTTGCATACATTTTTCCAAATACTTGCTTTCCACATTGGAAATCCAAAGCGATCTCTTACATTTAGATTCATTGGTATTTACTGAGTGCTTGGAATGTGTGTGCAAAGGCCCGGGGTGCAGTAGTAGCCGCACCAGTCATGCTGCCTGCCCTTACGCTGCTTGCTGTGGGCCACCACAGCAGTCTGAGGAGCACTGTTCCCCACCACAACGCCTGTCACTTGGGTGTGGACAGATGGCCTTAGCAGAAGCTCACTGACGCTGGCCTGGTGAAGGTTACGGGTTCTTGGGTGTGACCCTAGGGCTTAGCCTGCTGGTGCCTCTGGATGCCATCTGCTTGAGAAACATTCATCGGTGATCACCTGCCAGTTTGCTGTGACATTGAGAGGCATCCGCTTTAGATTGCTTCCATCTTGTTTTTCTTTCTTTTTTGACTACTTCCCCGTTGTTTGCTCTGGCTGGTGTTGTTCACTGTGTCTCAAACCCAAGGCGCATCCATGTCCGTGGCTGTTCCTCTCCCTCCTAAGCCAAGGTCCCGTGGACGCACCTGTTGAGGTCCCAGTTCCTCCAGAAGCGTTTTGGGGATTCCTTCCCATCCTCTCAGCTCTCTGTCTTCTGTGACGTCCATCAGCATTCACTATCCCCAGCCAAGGGTCCTGTCCTGTGTCCTGTGGCTGCGTGTTGGTGGGCTTTCCATTGAAAGTGGTTCTAAGACAGTTCTTGTCCCTTTGGAAGCCAAGTGACATTTCCCCGTTTCAAATGCCTGTCTGAAATGTTGTATGGTTTTGTCTGTTTCAGAGACTTGAAGATAGAAAATTTGCTACTAGATGAAGACAATAATATCAAGCTGATTGGTATGACTTTATTATTATTTAAAAAAAACAAGATTACAAGTGTTTTGTGTTGTTAATTCTCAACTGTGAAAATTATCCATGGTCTCTATCTAATTCCAAGATAATACTTCCAGATCCCATTCTATGATGTGCAATAGTTAATCATGGTTTAAAAAATGAAAATTAATTTTACTAGCAGTAATGACTTAATTTTGGACAGTGAAACATAATTAAGCCGATAACAGTACCATAATATGATCATGAAATGAATTTCACAGTGCCAAATAAATTTATCTTGGCAGTGGGTTTCTTTGAATTACTCAGATCACAACTTCTCTGTAAATGCAGACAGAGTTCAAAAACCTCTTGTGGAGGTTTTTGCTATTTAGATTAATCAGAAAACTATTTAAAGATGAATGGCAAATAGTTTAGTTAAAAATGCTGTCTGTAGCTTCATCGTATCCTATTCTATTTTTCCGTGAAGGCAGCGACCCCTGGACCAGGGGGAGTTCGGCTTACTTTCTTTTTAGAATATGCAGTCACCTGAGGATGCCTGGGAATTGATACCAGGACTTTCATTGGAGACCAAAACCCATGGATGCTTAGATCCTATAAAATGGGGTAGAGTTTGCATATCAATATCTACACACCTGCCTGTGTGCTTCCTGTCCTCCTTAGATGCTTTGTAACACCTCATAAATAGAATTGTTGTGCTGTGTTTTTGGGGAATAATGACAGGAACAAAGGTCTATCTATGTTCAGTGCAGGTGTAGTTTTATTTTGGGGGTGGGAATGGGAGCAGAGAGGATATTTTGGTCCTTGGTGGGTGGCACCCAAGGATAAGGAGAGTGACCGTGAGCCCCATCCGAGCCCTGTGGGATGGTGTAGCTGCCACAGAGGAGCCCTGGGGTAGTCGATCAGAAGAGCTCATGATTTAGGCTCCCACAGCAACTTAACCCCATGGCTCCTCCTCTAGCAAAATTCAAGTTGTCTTCTTCCCACCTGCATGGCCAGTCCTGGCCACAGGGCATCATTTCTGTCCCCAGCTACTAGCATCCTTTGTCCTTTGGACCTTTTCTTTCTCCCACTTCAAGTGTAAGTCATTTCTTCTTTTTTTTTAAATTATATTTTTGACAATCTTTACACAGTTAATTAGGGCTATAGGAAAGTGGGTAAGACTATTATTTCCATGTTGTTTCCTTCATGTATCTGAGGTAAAGGAGGATATTGAGGGAGAAGCCCCACCCAGTTTCCCACCCACCCCAGGTCCCTGATGTAGGGCATGCTCCGAGATTCTTGCTCAAGTGGTTTTGATAGTTCACCAGTTATGAATCACTGCCAGTCTCACCACTCCAAGCACAATGAGGTCGTTGAAGAATCCACTGATTGACATAGTTCATCATAGAGTCTCCATTTGCCCAGTTTTTCACTGCCAACATATAGCTGAGGTGGTTGATTGACTTGTTCTGTCTTCTGTCTTTTCTTAGTTAGGGTTCTGAGTCCAGCATTTCGGTTGGTGAGATCTCCAAAGAAACTTTGAGGTGTTCCCAGACCACATTCTTGTATGTACTAACAAGTACAGGGCCCGGCACAGTCCATTGCCCTGATCAGCTGGTGGTTAAAATTGCTGGGTTGGTTCAGCCCTGACTTCCACTGGAACCAATGGGTGTTGCAGTCCAGCCTCATTCTGCCTGCCACATACTCGGCCTTCATATAAACCAGTGGGAGCTGCAGCCTAGTTGGAGCAACCCACAATAACCCCCACCAGGCCCTTCCCCTACCCTGGTTTGCCAGTATGTATAGCAGACTAGTCTAGTCTGTCCCACATCCCATTCAGCTCTTGTACATGTCAATGGGTATTGAAGCTTAGTTCCATCTAATCATCTGAACTATCTAGCCCTCACGAATGTTGTTGGGTGTTTCTCTGTCTAGCCACCCCAACCCCCGTCCCAGTTTTCGTGCCCTCCTGTGGGAGTTACGGTAACCCAAGAGGGAGGAGCCCACTATTTCCCTCCTAGGCCTCTCCCACTCCTGGATTAGCAAGTCATTTCTTCTACCTCTGTGACTAGAAAGAAATTTCTAGAAGGGGGAGAGATGGAGTTGTTGGTGAATTCGACTTTTGTGCCCAAGAAGGAACTTTGGCTTGGTCAGCTGTGAATTCATCTGCAGACTTCACAATAGAGATCCTGGTGTCACAGCTGGCGCCCAGCCCGGCATCAGGCAAGAGAAGCCTTCTGGGGCTCCAGCGCTCCTGACTGCTGATTAAACATCATTAATAGATAGGGATGGATCATCTGATGTTGAAAGATTAACAGTGATTACTGCCTGGCACAATGGCTCAGTCCTCTACCTGTAAGTGCCAGCATTCCATTTGAATACTGGTTTGTATCCTAGTTGTCCCACTTCCTATCCAGCTCCCTGCTTGTAGCCTGGGAAAGCAGTAGAGTGTGGCCTAAAGTTTTGGGACCCTGCATCCCTTGTGGGAGATCCAGAAGAAGTTTTTGGCTTCAGATTGGCTCAGCTCTGGCCTTTGTGATCATTTGGGGAGTGAATCGGCAGTTGGGGGATCTTTCTCTGTATAGCTCCTTCTCTCTGTAGATCTGTCTTTCCAATAAAAATAAATGAAAGATGGACAATTAAGAGGAAAGCAGCCTCCCCCACCAAGCAAAACATTTTAAAAACTCTGTTAGAAGATGCCGAGGTAATTCCAAGGACTTTTTGTTATTTTACCATTACCTTTTACTTGTTGTGAGGGCCAAATGCAGAAGCAATGGGGCAAGGCAGTGTTGGCATGCCCGCAGGATGCCCTTCTGGGCCTCCAGGGGATGGGGTGGGGAGGAACGGCTCCTGGGGGTCCCTCTTTGGGAGATGTGGAGGAAGTGACGAGCTGCCCTGGCAGCAGAGATAGTGTCAGAGAACAGGCTCTAAAAGCCAGGCTGACGACACATTGAAAGCTAACTCACTCTGCCATAGGGCAGGTGACCTATGGAGGGAGCCCAGGCGATCCCAAAGGACCATTGCCCCATACGTTGGCACCTACCCTTTTTGCTTTGGGCTTGCTGTCCCTTCCTGTCTTCCTGAGCAATAGCCCCAGATGGCTGCTTAGAAAACTGCCTCGTAGAATCAGCTGGAGTTACACAGAGAGAGAGAAACAGATCTTCCATCTGCTGACTCACTTCCTAAATAGCTGCAGTAGTGGGGGCTGGACCAGACTGAAGCCGTGGGCCTGGAACTCCATCCAGGTCCCTCACGTGGGTGTGTAGGCTCAAGGACTTGGACCATCCTCTGCATTAGCACTGAGCCAATTTGAAGTGGGGCAGTCAGCAGACCCTCAAACCGGCCTCTGTATGCGAAGCCAGCTCCACAGGCACCTCTACCTGCTGTGCCACAACCCCAGCTGCATAAATACGTTTTTTTATGAATGAGAACTTTTCTCAGAAGATTCTGAAAGTACCAATCGTCATGAACAATGGCTGCATTTATTAAAAAGTAGCTCACAAGATGAACTGAATAAGAAAAGAAAAGCTCCTTCAAGGAGACCCGCTTAAGTTGAAGAAACCACCTTGCCCAGCATGCACCCACTGTGCCCCTCAGCAAGTGTGATGGCCGATGTTTGGACGTTGGGAACCCTGGGACGGAACCAAGATTTCAGCGATGAATGATGCAGATGCAGATGCAGCTGCTAAAATGCCGCTTGTGAAGTCAGCACCCCATAGCCAGGTGCTTGGGGTACAGTCCTGGCTTTGCTCCTGACTCTGGCTGATGAGTCCATGGGGGGGATGGGGCAACAGGCGGGTGAGTACCTGCCATGGGAGAGATCCCAATTTTGTTCCCAACTTAGTCCCAACGTTGGTGGTATAGTGGTGAGCATAGCTGCCTTCCAACTGTTGTTAGCATCCTGTCTGGGCATGGTATGCTCTACTTCCCATCCAGCTCTCTGCCAATGAGCTTGGGAAAGCAGCAGAAAATGGCCCAACTGCTTGGGTCCTTGCACCCACATGGGAGACCCCAAAGAAGCTCCTGGCTCCTGGTTTTTGCCTGACTTAACCCTGTCCATTGCAGCCATTTGGGAGTGAACTAGCAGACAGAAGATCTTTCTCCCTCTCTTCCTGTCTGTAACTGTCTTTCAAATAAATAGAAGAAATCTTTTTAAAAAAATAGTAGTAAGAGAGAAACTAGGAATCTGAAAGAGGCTTGAAAGGACACACTTTGGATTGCTAAGCTCTTCCAGCTGCTCTAAGTCATGCCTGGGACTGGAAGAGAAGGCGTGCCACGCAGCAGGCACGCTGGGAGCTGCGTTTTGTGGAGGTCGGGCTGCATTTATTCCTGTCTGAAGGAGAAAGACCTGGTGCCTTGGGGGTGTTTGTGTGTGCCTTGGTGACTGGGATCCCGAGGTCTCTCCCACCTGCCTTCTCTAACTTTTAAGTTACCTCTTCAAAGGAACTACTTGGTTATTTTTTTCAGAGGTGATTATAGCTATTACTGTTTCCTCTTATAATAGTTTCTCTTTCTTTGAAAGGTTTTTTTTTGTTGTTGTTGTTGTTTAAATAAGTGCACTGAAGCCATGTTGCAAATGAAGTACAATTACGGATGGGGAAATCAGTTTGAATCAGGTTTCCCCCAGACCTCACTTGGAGACAGCCTTCTGCTGTTTAAGTGTGATAGAAGTGAACTTGAAAGGACCCACACTCAAAGCACTGTTGCATGTTTCCCAAAGCAGCATTTATTTACTTTTCTTTTTTTGGAGATTCATCTTGCACTGCTCAGAAAATTGAGCGATAATTGTCCTAAGCGCTTACCAGATCTAATCGAGGCAGGTCTGTATGGTGTGCCGAGGAGGCGGGCTTCTCTGGTGTTTCACAATTCTAATTACAGGCACATGTGTAAACTTTTAGTAATGAGGACTTTGCATCCACAGCATGCCGGTTACTTCTCTGTTTTCAATCATCCCTCTTGGCAAGATCCACCAAAGTCAGTTTTAAATGGTGATCCAATCCCTTCTACTCCCCAGTTTTTGCTAATTTATCATCTTAAAACTGTGCTTAAGATAAGGCCAGGATGGAGTCCCCCAGCTTGCCTGGGATGGGAAAGAGTGATCTGGGCTCTGCCCTGCCCCCCTGCCCTCCCTCTTCTGCTGCCAGGCCCTCTGGGTGACCCAGGAAGTGGTCTCAAGCAGGGTGCCCTGTGCTGTTAAAAGGACTTGGCTGAGATTAGCCTGAGAGCCTTTTGCTTTCAGAAATTTCGAGCTCACATTTTTCTGGGACAAGATCTTGCCCCTGACATGCCTGCCCTTAACATCCCATTATCTTTGTTTTATGCTACTGTCTTTCCATTGCCTCCCACCCCTGAAAAATGGAGTGTTCTCATGCGTTTGACCGTGTGTTAAAAATTCCTTTAGGTCAGCCAGCAAAACAGGCCTCCAACTTGTCGCACAAAGCCATTTTCCTCTCTGGAAACAACATCTACCCCATCCCACCCCACCCCTAGTCAGTAGTCCTCAAAGCGGGATGTGAGCAGGGTCCCTGGAGTCTCTAGCTCTGGAGCCTGAAGGGCTGCTCTGTGCTGGGTGTGTGAGGTCTTGCCGGACCGCGGGCAGGAAGTGCAGGGGAAGGCAGGGAGCCAAGCAGGGAAGCGGAGGGAGAAAAAGAAGTTAAAGAAAACCAAGGTCTGAGCAGGTGGCATTGTTCCCATTCTTCCCCATGAAGCCTGTACCCTGCAAGAAATTCAGAAGCGTCCAGGACTTTCTGGATTCTGCTGTGATGGGGTTCTCTATGGAAAAGCTACAGTCTCCCTGCAGGCTGCGCCAAGAACTGTGGGAATGCCCGGCTCTGGCCCAGCCTGGGTTTTTCTGCTCTCCCAAGCTGTCTTAGCAGTCACGTACTTTGCAGGTGGAGACTTGCTGGCGTGAAGGAGAAAATGCAGTCCTCACTCCTGGAGCCAGTGTGAGAGGTTGGCTCCAGTCTCTCCGCAGCCCTGTTTGCCGTCTGGAAGTGGAGTAGGGGGTGGGACCTTAGTGTTTACATTGAGGTTCAAAGAAGAACTGATGGGGATTGAGATCAGCAGATTTGGGGAGGCAGTTCTCTAATTACCTGTCAGCTCTGGTATCTTTAAGATCAAAAGTCAACAGTCTCAAAAGACATAATAGCCCTGGATGCCCTGGGCATGCTCTCCCCTCCCCAGAGGGCTTTAACATCCAGGAACAAAGCCAGGCAGGGAGTGGCTTAGGAACTTTGTAAAGACTTTGATGGAGTGAGAACCTTTAGCCCAGAAAATCCCCCCCCATAAGCAGCTGGACCTCCCTGAGAAAATCAATTCCCTGGAGCGTTTCTCTCACTGGGAGGGGCACTCTGAACTCCCTATGCTTGTTAGCTTTCCCAGTCTCTATCCTAGAAAGCAAAGCTTTCTCTCTTCTGGACTGATTCAAGGAGATTTGCTGGAGCTGCACTATGAGCAAGTGCCAGCTGGGTTTCTAGAATGTTTTAGGATGTTCAAGAATGAATGTGCTCCCACTAGGTTTCTAGAATGTTCCATCTTCAGCAAGGCAGCCCCACACCACTCGGCATCCTCCTAGGCTTGTATCCCTGCACCTCCTGGTTTCTCCTTTGAGATGCTGTCTTGTGTGTTGGCCTCAGAGAAGGCTCTCCTTCCTTGCCGTCTGCAGTCTTTGTTGTTGTTCTCCTTTTGCTAATTTGTACCCCCCCCCCCCTTACAGACTTCGGTTTGAGCAACTGTGCGGGCATCCTGGGCTACTCCGACCCCTTCAGCACGCAGTGCGGCAGCCCCGCCTACGCCGCGCCAGAGCTCCTCGCCAGGAAGAAGTATGGGCCCAAAATCGACGTGTGGTCCATGTGAGTTGCCCAGCCTAGCCAAATGAACACTGCATCCTTTCTGTGCATGGCACCCCCTACCCCCTGCCTTGTGCCCACGACCCCCGCCTTCCATCCATGGCCCCCTGCCTTCTGCCCACAGTCCACCTTGTGCCCACCCTCTGCATAGTGCCTGTGTTTCCGAGTCTTCACCACCTTGGCCTCCCTCCCTCTGTCATGCTTTGTGCTTGGCGCTGACTTTCCTTCAGTGATACTTCCCAGTTCTCCAAATGGCGACATGCCGCCATACTCTGATTTTACTCTCTTGAGCCACTGTTGAGTTCCTCCTTCAAAGCCCCCCACCAGTGGTCCCCTGCATGCTCCTTCCTTTCACCTCCTCTTTGGCACCTGTCCTTGCCTGGTCATTCTCCTGTCAGGTGGCTCCTTGCCTGTCACCCCGGTTGGGAAAGAAGATTCTAGAACAGCAGGGAGCTCACGTGCATTGCATGGGAATCTGGGAAATGAGTGGCAGATTGGGCCCTCATGAGGGTGTCCTGTGATTGGAGTGGTGGAGCTGATGTGAGGCAGGACCAGCCGGGGAGAGTGCCAGCCAGCTGAGGCCAGCTGCTCCAGAGCCCTGCCTGCGAGGGAGACTGGTCAGTACTGTGTTGTCCCCAGTCATCACAGCGATGGCGGAATGGGGTCCCTTCCAGACCAGAATGTGGGCAACAAGAAAAGGATGTGTGACTTGTAGGAGTAAAGGGCCCTTTGGGGAGACCCCTTGAGGAGGGTGACCGCATTCCTTGTCATCCGTGTGACACTTGCGGTCCATACAGTTTACTGTTACTGTGTCAGGGGAGCAGGTTAGCTGTCCAGTGTGGAAAGGTGCAGGGGGAGATGAGCCGGGGGTAGGCTGTAGGGCTGTCATGTTGAAGCACAGCCCTTTGTTCTTGCCTCTTATATCAGGTTGCTTGATGTGGGCAAAGAATTCACATGTAGTGAACACAGATGTTGCATTGCTCAGCTTGGGCCCCAGGAGTCAAACCAGAGGGGTCTGCTCCCCAAGGAAGGGTTTCCCCAGCACCTTCTACCCCTCCCCTGCCCTTTGCCTCCTTCTCTGTCCCTACCCATTAACCAGAACCAATGACTACCCAGAAGTAATGGTGGTGACAGGTGGCCTTGGAGGGGGTATGGAAGGAGGCAGGTGGCCCCAAACCAGACGCCTGGATGCGTCAGGGCTTGTGTCCAGCCAGGGAGCAGCTGGCTGTGTCCTCAGTCCTGGCTCCAGGGGACAGCCAGTCCCTTCCTTGGTAGCTTCTGTTGTATTTCCCACCCCACCACCCCAAGATCCTGCTGTATGGCCCAAGGTGCTTTGACAAGCTCTAAGGGGCTGCATCCCGAGTGCTGGGAAAATAAAATCACATCTGTGAAAGCCCTCAGTCTTTCTCTTCACTGTTGCAGGGCTCTGGGGCTGCTGGGAAGGAGGAACAGAGGGAAAACTCAGAATATGCAGGGATTATTTACATGGTGATGGAAGAATAGCCAGGAGTCATGTTCAATGGTGAGGTCTCAGTGGGCAGAGCCTGTGGGGCACGCAGCCTGGAGTCTGGGGGTGGGGGGACTGTGGGGAGAAGACAGAGGGGGAGGGGGGAGAGTTAGAGTTCTCAACTTTGATGGATGGAGTGATCAGGAATTTGTGTGATTTTTCTTCTTTCCTCTCCCCTCCTCTCTTCTCCTTTTCTTTTTTCTTTTTTAAGATTTCTTTTGATTTGCAAGGCAGATTTGGAGAGAGCAGAGACAGAAAGAGAGATCTTCCATCTGCCGGTTCACTCCCCAAATGGGTCACAGAAGTTGGAGCTGAACTGATCTGAATCAGGAACCTCTTCTGGTCTCCCACATGTGGGGTCCTTGGGATGGAGTTGCAGGTGCTGGTTGGTTTGCCGTGGGGCTGGAAGCATTGGAGATGTAGAGTGCATCTGATGCTGCTGCCCTACTGGGCGCTGTGGCTCAGCAGCACTCTACACCGCGAGGTGTTGGTCATGTGCTCTCAGGATCAGGTTCACAGGGCTAATGGGGAACAGTGGGTGTCAGGGGGGAGTCTGCAGTATGTCCTGAGCCTGGGAGAGGATCCAAGTCTCCACCCAGACCGTCACCAAGTTGAAAAGTTGGAAGTGGCACCATCGGAGAATGAGCACTTTTATATGTTCAGATGAAGTTGTGAGAGTGGGTCTGGTAAGAAGTTAGCATCCTTGGTGATACCAGACAGTTTCTCTCTTTCTCTTTCTCCTCCTCTCTCTGCCTTGTGAGGGTAGGTGTGTCCAGGAGGAGCGTCCTCCCCAGCCATGACTGTGAGGACATCCATGTGTGTGGTGTGAGCCCAGCCTGAGAGATTTGGCTGTGTAGCCCTGGACACATGCAGGGCTCAGCTGTAACCAGATGCAAAGGGTGGGGCGAAGCAGAGCGACAGACCTGGCGCTCTACCAGCCAGGCTGCAGAGGGGAGCTGCATCTGCTGCCAGCGGCTGGCGGGTTGGGGACTGTTCCAGGTGGAGGAAATGGCATCTGCAAAGATGGGCGGGTGTACAATATCCAGTGACTGTGGCTGGTAATTTGGGATAAAGCATACAACTTGAGACTCTTTTGTACAGAATTCATCTCCTCCTGCTTTGGGGTCCTGTGCGTGAGATGGAGTTTCTGTTTAGTGTCCCAGATTGTTCTACCAGGATTGGAAGCAGACAACTTGAGGAGTCTTTCATTTTCAAGACTGCTTAAAGTGAGAGGGAAGGTCCCTCATGGGGGTGGACGTTGTCACTACGAAGTCTTCTCTTTTTTATTGCTGTCAGACAGCAGCAGAATGAAGAGTTTACGAAAGTGGAATTCCCCTGCCTTCAGACTCTGGCCCCTGTGTTGGGCGTCAGGGACTTTTTCTCCAAGATGTCTGAGACTGACTTAGCAAGCAAACCTGGCTGCCACCCCAGGGGAGCCTGGGAGAGCAAGCCCCTCCCCACAAACAGAGCCCCCTGGGCCCTGCCCTAGCACAACAGGGACAAATGATGCAGGTAAAAGAAGTGGCTCTCTTTCTGGGGAGTTTCCCTTTGCTTTCATTTTAAAAGATATTATTAATATTATTATTTTATTATTTGAAAGGCAGTTTGAGAGAGAGAGAGATATTGTATCCACTGATTTACTCCCTTAATGACCATAATGGTTGGAGCTAAGCCAATCCAAAGCCAGGAGCCAGGAGCTTCCTCTGGATCTCCCACACAGATGCATGGTCCCAAGGACTTAGTTCATCCTCTGCTGCTTTCACAAGCCACTATCAGAGCTGGACTGGAAGTAGGGCAGCTGGAAAACATGAACCCGTGTTCCTATGGCATGCTGGTGCTATAGGCGGAAGCTAAGCCTGCTAAGCCACAGTGCTGCCCTTCTCATTACTTTTGAAGGTTATTATTTGCAGGACTGTGAAAATATCCTTTAAATCGCTCACCCCTTTCCCTTATTCCGGATAGCTGAATTGTATGTATTTCCCGATGACTGGAGATTTCAAACACAAAACTCAAGGTATTCATCCTGCCGCAGGAAACCTTTAAACCTTTGCTCCCATCACTGGGCTTTCCTTCCTTAAAGAAAACACTGTCGGGCCCGGCATGATAGCGTAAAGGTTAAGGTCCTCGCTTGAACGCACAGGGATCCCATAGGGGCACTGGTTCTAATCCCAGCAGCTCCACTTCCCATCCAGCTCCCTGTGTGTGGCCTGGGAAAGCAGTGAAGGACGGCCCAAAGCCTTGGGACCCTGCACCCACGTGGGAAACCTGGAGCAAGTCCCTGGCTCCTAGATTCAGATTGGCGCAGCACCGGTCGTTGCGGCCACTTGGGGAGTGAACCATTGTACGGAAGATCTTCCTGTCTGTCTCCTCCTGTCTGTGCATTTGCCTTTCCAATAAAATAAAGAAATCTTTTTAAAAAAAAAACTGTCATGGAAATTACTGCTTAAAACAGTGAGAATACAAATGGACTTTATTTGCAGAATATTAAGACGCTCACTTGAGAACTCCCATGAATCCCAAAGCAAAAAATGAAGAGAATGATCCCCAAAAGATGGAGAATCCAGCTTCTTTTGGGGGGGGCCAGGGTTGCTCTTGACCCTTGGGGAGTCCCCGGGGTGTGTGGTTGAGTCACACACCACACATCCAGACCAGTTGGCTGAGTGGCACTGTTCTAAGGCAGCCCTCCCACCTGTACATGGGACTGAGTATAGGAAACAGCGAGAGATTGTTCAAGGCATCAGACTTGGGACTTTGTAAAAGTTCACCTAGATTCCATCAGCTTCCCCACCCAGCCGCCCTCAGAATGGGGGCTGGCAGGAGGAGGGGACTTTTGGGGGGGAATCCAGGGGAATTTGGACTTTAAGCAAGAAAGCTCCCTTGAGCTTCCTAGATGTCTTGGGTATAAAACACACGACTTTTTCTTTTGTAGTTAGCTGCTTTGTTGGATATAGAAGCGGATCAGGAGAAGGGAAAAAGAACCAAAGTCATTCAAATGCATAAGAAACCATTTGTCAGGAACAGGCACAGTTGGATGGAGTGGGGTGCAAGTTTGAGCTTCCTGAATGTGGGGGGTCTGGGTGGGCTTCCTCTCTCCCAACCTGCTGGAGATCTCTTGATCCTGGAGCTGGGAGGAGATTGCTGTTGGCTGTAGTTATTTTAGTTTCTTAAATTCCTTTCTTGCAAATTACCCAGAAATCATGTGTTCATACTTGGGTATCAACAGGGCAGTGTCTGAGGCTCCTGTCCATGCGCCCTGCGAGGGGACTGGACCCTCCACCTGCTGGTATTGCTGTACCCTTGCATCTTGCTGCAGTCAGGGTGATCTGCAGGGAGCCGTGATCCTGTCTTTCTTCTTCCTGGGCGTTTCGGCTGCAAAGGAAGATTGGTGCCTTTAGGAGGCAGGACTACCATCTGGCTGTCCCAGGGCCTCTGGCTTTCTGCCTCCAGCCACCCTGCACTGTCACACTTTGTCGCTTTGACAGCAGATCATCCCATT